GATCAATTTAGACTGCAGAAGTTGGCAAAAATCTTCAATTTCTTCATCTTTGACCTTAGTGGGTGGTGCATAAATTTCAATAATAGTCATATTAACTGGTCTTCCTTGTAGGCTTATGGATATTATCCTATCACTGACATCTTTGTACTTCAGGATAGATTTGAAATGTTCTTTTTGACGATGAATGCAATGCCATTCCTCTTCAATTTGTCATTCCTGGCATAGTAGACCATATGATTGTCCAATTCAAAATGGCTGATACCAGTCCATTTCAGCTCCCTAATGCCTGGGATATCAATTTTTATATGTCTCATTTCATTTTTCACAATTTCCAATTTTTCTAGATTCATACTTTGTATATTCTATGTTTCAATTATTAATGGATGTTTGCAGTTGTTTCTTCTCATTTTGAGTTGTGCCACATCAGCAAATGAAGTTCCCAAAAGCTTGACTCCATCCACATCATTAAGGTCGACTCTACTTTGAGGAGGCAGCTCTTCCCCAGTCATATTTTGAGTGCCTTCCAACCTGAGGGGCTCATCTTCCGGCGCTATATCAGACAATGTTCTGCTGCTATTCATAAGGTTTTCACTGGCTAATTGTTTTCAGAAGTAGACCGCCAGCCTCTTCTTCCTAGTCTGTCTTAGTCTGGAAGCTCAGCTGAAACCTGTCCTCCATGGGTGACCCTGCTGGTATTTGAATACCAGTAGCAGAGCTTCCAGCATCCCAGCAGCATGCAAGACCCCACAGTACGACAAACTAATAGACGCTTGGGGGACAAGATGATACACACTAAAATAAATCTCAGGGAGCCTGAGGAAAGGAGAGAGCAATTAATTCTGCCTGGGAAGGCCAGCCAGGGCCTCAGAAGAAAGGTATTTCTAGAATTGAACCCTAAAGAATAAGGAAGGCTTTCCCATGCAGACGGGGGCAGATTAGCCAGTAAGTAGGGTGTGTATGGGCTTTCTTGTGCTTACTTACTAATCTGTGGTGACCACATGTATGCAGATCACCAGGCCTGTCTTCCAAGGCGCCTCTGGGTGGGTTTGAACTGCCAACCTTTTGGTTACTAGTCCAGTGCTTAACCATTTGCGCCACCCAGGGATTCCTCAGTTCTAACTAGCCACAGTTTTGTTTTGTTTTTTTTAGTTGTGCTTTAGGTGGACGTTTACAGCTCAAATTAATTTCTCGTTAAAAAATTCATACACGTATTGTTTTGTGACATTAGTTGCAATCCTCACAATGTGTCTGCACTCTCCCCCTTCACACTCCAGGTTCCCTGTGTCCATTCGACCAGTTCCTGCTCAGTAACCACATGTGACTACTGTTTTGGACAACACAAATTAGAGAGCATTTCCACCATCACAGAAAGTTCAACTGGGCCATGCTGATTTAGGTTGTTTGAGTTGCCAATAAGTGCTCATAATAAGATGAGTTCAGTGGACAAATAAGCTTAAAAATATGCTATGTGATAAACTATTGGAAATTCACATAGTACAATAGCATAATAAAGATCTTGAGAAGTCCTGTAATAAAAAGAATGTTTCTCAACTGTGTTTAACCCACCCATATTTAATTTTTAACTGAATCCCTCTTTTTAAGACGGCCTAATTTACATGTCATAGAAGTAATACTTGACAGATAGCAATTTGAGAAATACTTCTATGGACAACTGGGAACCACTGGTAGCATTTAGGCAAAGGAATAAGGAGAACAGATTTTGTTTTACAGAGACCACTTTGGCAACTATGGAAACGATGGGTTGGAAAAGAACAAGATTTAAAGAAGGAAGACCAGATGGGATGCTCAGTGTAAGAAGACAGCTATGGGAAGGGGAGGATATATAACAGACAGAATATGATGAGGGATTGGGTGTAGAAGGTTATGTCCAGTAGGATACCTAGTCTTCAGACTTAGGCTCTGGAATGATGGTAGCACACCTAACATAAAGAATAACAAGGGCTATCAGGAACACGTGGGGAATGTGGAATTTGACAAACCTGTGGTATATCCAAAAGAAAAAAGCATGGTCTGAAACTGAGGTCTAAGATATATATTTGGGAGTCTAGTCTAAGATATATATTTGAGAGTCTTCAGGATATAGGCAGTACTTAAAGTCATGGAAATAAATTAACTCACCCAACAAGGCAGGGCCAAGTGAGAATAGAAGGGGGCCAAAAGTTGCTAGAATTAACAACATTAAATGGAGCAGATTAAATAAGCAGGAGACTGAAAAGAAGCCATCAAAGAGGTAAGAAAACAAGAATGCCATGTCCCAGAATCTAAGGGAAGAGAGACCTCCAAGAGCAATATTATGGTCAATAGTTTTTGAATGTCATAGAGAGATCGTGAACCAAACCAAACACACGCCGTCAAGTCAATTCATTAGACCCATAGGGTTTAACAACTAAAGGGTCAGTCTTAGCAAGAACAGGCTCTGTATAACGCTAGGGTTAGGACAGATTGTGATGTACGTGAGGAAGATTGAATTGTAGATGAGGAGATAGAAACAGCGAGTATAATAAAATCTTTAAGACATTTACCTGAGTAGAAAAAGAGAGCAATAGAACTATTGCTAGGGAGGAATGTAGAGTACTGGATTTTTAAAAGATGGAAGTGAAAATTTAAGTCAATGTAATAGGCATTTACTGAGTGACTACTATATATTATAAACCACTATGCTAGACACTAGGTCTTATAAAACCAAAAAAACAACTCCGTTGCTGTCGAGTTGATTCTGATTCATAGTGACCCTATAAGACAGAGTAGAACTGCCCCACATAGGGTTTCCAAAGAGCAGCTGGTGGATTCGAACTGCTAGCCTTTTGGTTAGCAGCTGTACCTGCATCACCAGGGGTCCAAGAGATAGTGAAAAATCCACATCCCTGCCTCCAAGAGGCTCAAAGTATACCATGTTAAAGAAATTATAAAGGGATGATGTGATCCTAACTCATTTATGTAAATGTTGGTTAAAAAAATTATCATGTTTTCTGTAACACTGTGGTCCACAAGGAGCCCTGGTGGTGCAGTGGTTAAGAGCTTGGCTGCTAACCAAAGTGTTGGCAGTTCAGATCCACCAGCTGCTCCTTGGAAACGCCATGGGGCAGTTCTACTCTGTCTTGTTGGGTCACTATGAGTTGGAATCGACTCAACAGCAACAGGTTTGGTTTGATGGTCCACAGAACCTTTCAACTTCTTGATGGAAAATGACTTTAGACTTCTAAGACCATGTTGCTAGCTTTATAGTAGTCTACTCAATAGCAGATATCCATGATGTCAATGAATAAACTGCTACATATGGTAACCAAAAACAGCTTCTTCCAAATAGCAAAAGGGGATTCAGGTTAGACAATGTGTTTGATGTAGAGCAGGACAAAAGAAATCAGTGTGATAGGAACTTAGGGCTGTGGTTTCATGAACAGACTAGAATTCATTGAAATGAATCATGTTTATCTTTACACCGCCCCTCTTCTCCCCCTCATCTCCCGCCCCCCAACATACCCCCACTGATAGCACAGTGTCTGGCACATAATGAGTCAATCTCACCCATCTTGAGTAATGAGGACGTATGGCTAGGACATGAGCTGGTGGGGCAGTAAGGCAAAGCTGGTTTGGTACTTGAGGGTCTTGATGAGATAAGGTAGTAAAGTGAAAAGAAATGGTTCACTTTCAGAAGAGAAAGCTGAGAAACAGCAGCGGGGAGACTTGATGCAAATTCCAAACCCAAAGAACAAGAGAAGGAGCATAAAAGAGAAGTGGAACCAAGAATCAGAAGCCCTCGAGAAACAGCATGAAGTGTAAACTCATCATCTCAGCCTCATGGGCAGGATTTGTGTCAGAAAAGGGGTCAAGATGGGTCCAAATGTCTCTCAATAAACATAGATGGATAAAGAGACAGATGCACAGATGCATCAGTGACAAACATTGACACGTGCCAGCCAGTCAGTATGTAAGCTAACAGGTGTGTAAATTTTTTTAATGTATTCTTTCTTGTTTTCTTCATTAGATCCCCTCAGCCGAGTGTGTTTAAGGCCAAAAAATGTAACTGATTCTTTGAGCACCTACATTAATGCTAATTATATTAGGGTAAGTAAATAAAATATAAAGTTTTTTCTGATGAGCATTTTATTTACTATTTGGAACTGTTGGTTTTATTTTTTCCTCAAAGTAGGTTAAGTTTGTGATTTAACTTGGTTAAAAAGAATGTGGTCCAACTTGGTTTAACCCAGTGTTTCCCATATTTATTTTTTTACTGAACCTCCCTTTTTTCAAGATAGCCCAGTTTATATGCCATGGAAGTAATGATTCATAGATAATACTTTGGGACATATTTCTATGGACAATTGGTAACCCCTGATAGAGTTAAGGCAAGTTGGTTACTAGCAAGTTATTTTTGTTTGTATTGTTTTCATCATAACCAACATTTGCAGTGGGGTCCTTTACAATGATTTCTTTACTCTGAGTCTGTGGCTAGAGTGCTCTTATGGGGTTTTCAGGTGGGGACTAAGTATTACAACCCTCGATACCACAGTATACCATAATGATATGCTTGACTTTCAGAAAAGACACTGTGAATTGTGGCACTAGAGTCAATGGGGCCGTCATAGTCTGTGTTGCTTTTGGACTAGCACAGATATTTTGTTCTGAAGATCTTTCATCTAAACTTTCAGTGCAAGGCATGAACTGAAAAGCCAACATATTTGTCTCTTCACTCTAACTAGGGCTACAGTGGGGAGGAGAAAGCATTCATTGCTACTCAGGGCCCCATGATCAACACCGTGAATGATTTCTGGCAGATGGTTTGGCAGGAAGACAGCCCTGTGATTGTGATGATCACAAAGCTCAAAGAAAAAAATGAGGTATGACCTTTAACCTAAGTACTGAATGTTATACATGTCCTATTGCTATAGAAAAGATATTTTTTTAATAAAAATGCCATGTACTTTACAACAGATTGACAAATGGAAACTTTGAGACATTTAAAGACTGAGCCACATTATGCTTTAAAAAATGGTAATTGGTATTGGTGTTATTCTGTGAATTGTGACTTTATTTCACAGGAGTCGATGTGGTTGGCATATACGCAAGTCCGTCATTTGTATACATGTGTTCCAGTAAGGAAGTGAGGCACCATGAATATCATCCCAATTTAAAGACAGAGAAATTTTTTTAAAAACTTTATTTATTTAACAAACATTTTTTGAGCACCTACTGTGTGACAGGTACTATTTTAATCATTTGGGATAATTAGTGAACAAAATACAGAAAGATTATTGCCCTTAGTAGAATTCAACGTTCTAGTAAAGGAAGAAAGACAAAAAACAATATAATAAATTCATAAATAATATAGGACTTTAGAAAGGGTAAGTGTTACAGAAAAATAAAAGGTATAGCAGGATAAGTGGATTGGGTGTGCTGGACAATGGAGAAGGGGAAGAGTAGGTTGCAATATTACATAGAGTGGTCAGAGTAGACCACATTAAGAAAGTGAGGTTTGAACAAAGACTTGAAAAAAGTTACAAAAACTAAGCAACTTTCTCAAAATCCTCAAAATAAGAAATCCAAGAAAGACATAAAATTGTTGTTGTTAGGTGCTGTCTAGTTGGTTCTGACTCATAGTGACCCTATGTACAACAGAATGAAACACTGCCCAGTCTTGTGCCACCCTCACAATCATTGTTGTGCCTGAGTGTTGCAGCCACTGGGTCAATCCATCTTGTTGAGGGTCTTCTTCTTTTTCCTTCACTGTCTACTTTACCAAGAATGATGTCCTTCTCCAGGGACTGGTCCCTTCTGATAACATGTCCAAACTATGTGAGACAAAGTCTTGCCATCCTTGTTTCTAAGGAGCATTCCAGCTGTACTTCTTCCAAGACAGATTTGTTCGTTCTTCTGGCAGTACACAATATATTCAATATTCTTCCCAACACCATAATTCAAAGGCATCAATTATCTTCAGTCTTCCTTATTCATTGTCAAGTTTTCACATGCATGTGAGGTGATTGAAAACACCATGGCTTGGGTCAGGTGCACCTTAGTCCTTAAAGTAACATCTTTGCTTTTTAATACTTTAAAGAGGTCTTATGCAGCAGATTTGCCCAATGCAATGCATCCTTTGATTTCTTGACTGCTGCTTTCATGGGCATTGATTGTGGATCCAAGTAAAATGAAACCCTTTACAACTTCAATATTTTCTCCATTTATGATGATGTTACTTTTTGGTCCAGTTGTGAGGATTTTTGTTTTCTTTATGTAGAGGTGCAATCCATACTGAAGACTTTCATCAGTAAGTGTTTCAAGTCCTCTTCACTTTCAGCAAGGAAGGTGTGTCATCTGCATATCTCAAGTTGTTTGAGTCTTCCTCCAGTCCTGATTCCACGTTCTTCTTCATATAGTCCAGCTTCTCAGACTATTTGCTCAGCATACACATTCAATAAGTATGGTGAAAGAATACAACCATGATGCATACCTTTCTTGGTTTTAAACCATGCAGTATCCCCTTGTTCTGTTCAAAGGACTGCCTCTTTGTCTATGTACAGGTTCCTCATGAGCACAGTTAAGCGTTCTGGAATTCCCATTCTTCACAATGTTATCCATAATTTGTTATGATCCACACAGTCGAATGCCTTTGCATAGTCAATAAAACACAGGTAAACATCTTTTTGATATTCTCTGCTTTCAGCCAGGACCCATCTGACATCAGTAGTGATATCCCTGGTTCCACGTCCTCTTCTGAATCCAGCTTGAATTTCTTGAAGTTTCCTGTTGATATACTGTTGCAACCACTTTAGAATGATCTTTAGAAAAAATTTACTTGAGTGTGATATTAATGATTGTTTTTGTTGCTAGGTGCCCTCAAGTCCCTTCCAACTCATAGCGACCTCATGTACAGCAGAATAAAACACTGCCTCGTCCTGTGCCACCCTCACAATCATTATGCTTGGGGCCATTATTGCAGCTGCTATGTCAATCCATCTCGTTGACGGTCCTCCTTTTTTTCAAAGACCGTCTACTTTACCAAGCACAATGTCCTTCTCCAGGGACTGATCCCTCCTGATATGTCCAAAGTAAGTGAGATGTAGTATTGCCATCCTCGCTTCTAAAGAGCATTCTGGTTGTACTTCTTCCAAAACAGACTTGTTCATTCTTTTGGCAGTCCATTGTATATTCAATATTCTTTGTAAACACCACAGTTTAAAGGCGGCAATTCTTCTCCGGTCTCCTTATTCATCACCCAGCTTTCTTATGCATATGAGGCAATTGAAAACACCACGGCTTGAGTCAGGCACACCTTAGTCCTTAAAGTGGCATCTTTACTTTTTAACACTTTAAAGAGGTCTTTTGCAGCAGATTTGCCCAATGCAATGTATCCTTTGATTTCTTGACTGCTGCTTCCATTGGCATTGATTGTGGATCCAAGAAAAATGAAACCCTTTACAACTTCATTATTTTCTCCATTTATGATGATGTTGTTTATTGGTCTAGTTGTGAGAATTTTTGTTTTCTTTATGTTGAGGTGCAATCCATACTGAAGGCTGTAGTCTTTGATCTTCATCAGTAAGTGCTTCAAGTCCTCTTCACCTTCAGTAAACAAGGTTGTGTCATCTGCATATCACAGGTTGTTAATGAGTCTTCCTCCAGTCCTGGTGCCATGTTCTTCTTCATATAGTCCAGCTTCTCAGGTTATTTACTCTGATGCACACATTTCCTGACTTTAAACCATGCAGTAGCCTGTTGTTTTGTTGGTACAACTACCTCTTGATCTATGTACAGGTTCTTCATGAGCACAATTAAATGTTCTGGAATTCCCATTCTTCGCAATGTTATCCATAATTTGTTATGATCCACACGGTTGAATGCCTTTGCATAGTCAATAAAGCACAGGTAAACATCTTTCTGGTATTCTCTGCTTTCAGCCAGAGTCCATCTGACATCAGCAATGATATCTCTGGTTCCACATCCTCTTCTGAATTCAGCTTGAATTTCTGGCAGTTTCCTGTTGATGTACCACTGCAACCACTTTTGAATGATCTTCAGCAAAGTTTTACTTGCATGTGATATTAATGATATTATTGAACAATATTGATATTAATGATATTTGTCAATAATTTCCACATTCTGTTGAATCATCTTTCTTTGGAATGGATACAAATATGGATCTCTTCCAGTCAGTTGGCCAGGTAGCTGTCTTCCAAATTTCTTGGCATAGAAGAGTGTGCACTTCCAGCACTGCCTCTGTTTTTTGAAACATCTCAATCAGTATTCTGTCAATTCCTGGAGCCTTGTTTTTCACCAATGCCTTCAGTGCAGCTTGGACCTCTTCCTTCAGTACCATCGGTTCTTGATCATATGCCACCTCCTCAAATGGTTGAACGTTGACCAGTTCTTTTTGTACAGTGTCTCTGTGTATTCCTTCCATCTTCTTTTGATGCTCCCTGTGTCGGTTAATATTTTCCGTGAGAAATCCTTCAATATTGCAACTTAAGGCTTAAATTTTTTCTTCTGTTCTTTCTGCTTGAGAAATGCCAAGCATGTTCCTACCTTTTGGTTTTCTATCTCCAGGTCTTTGCACATTTCATTTTAATACTTTACTTTGTCTTCTCAAGCCACCCTTTGAAATCTTCTGTTCAGCTCTTTTACTTCATTATTTCTTCCTTTAGCTTTAGCTATTCTACATTCAAGAGCATGTTTCAGAGTCTCTTCTACATCCATTTTGGTCTTTTCTTTCCTTCCTGTCTTTTTAATGATGAAATTTTTCTTACTTATAATCTTTTCTAAGGATTTAACTTGAAGAATACTCATCCTGTACATTGTATCATAAAAATAAAATTGTGTAATTCCTGAAAGGTGCCATCCTAAGTACCTCTTACATTTTAGGGCATCTTATTAAGATAATTGACGGTCTGTTTTAGTTAGGTATTTTGTTGTTGTTGTTGTTGTTTGTTTGTTTTCTTTTCAAAATTACCATACAAGGGCTTCCCCATGACAATAAGAATTCAAGAAATGTGGGCTTTCTCTTATACACCTTTGGAGAGTTACAATGCTTGAGTGTAGAATAATTTCGCTGCTAGTCAAGAGAATCCAGACTCACAAAACTGCAACTTATAAGTTTCAAAAAATGTGTTGTTTCTTTGATTTTTTGCCATAATAGATAAAGAATTTTCTGAAATTTATTCTGTAAAAAAAAGTATGTTTTTGGTCAGTACAGGAGGTTATATACTAAATTAACTTATTAAATAAATACGTTTCTATACATCTTAGATGCAAGCTTGAGGTAGCAAAATAAAATCATCTGTCATCTTCTCAGCTGATTCACACACAATAGCAATTTGTAAACATATTAAGGCACAGACAATTCCTGCATAGTTTTATAATATCATTGGTGCTTACCTCTATTGTAGAGAAAACAAGTTTAAAAGGTGTATCCTATGTATATATACAACCATGTATGCATACATACATACATGCATAGAACTTCTGTAATATGGAAGAGTAGATACCTGAAAAATCTCCCACTACAAAACCAGTTATTCTGGGTAAAATATGAAATAGCATGCATAGCAGAGCTTGAAGAAAAGAAATAAGGGAAACCCCAGCAGTCAAAACTGAATAAAAGGCATAAACCAAAGAATTAAAAGTTGCATTTTAATAGCAATACAAAAACTAGAGATAATGCATTAGGTTTGCAGGAGGCTGGGAGTTAGAACTGGACTTTACATAAAATGAGGACCTGTAAGGCTATACATCTTCAGTGAACAGGTTAACTAGAAAAATATAGCTGTCTAACAAAATAGGAGTAAAACAGGAAGTTAATCTGTTTAAGTCTGGCCTTCGCATGAGATAAATAAAAAGATTCTTT